GGTTATTGCGGTGTGCTGCATGCTGCACAATATTATCGAGGAGAAGAGGGAGGCCTTCCTCCTGGGGTGGATGGCAGGCAAGGGCCAGGCCTACCAGCAGCCTCAGATGGCCGTCACCCGCGACGGGGTGCAGATCTGGGAAGCTCTCTGGGTGCTGATTGACCAGGTCGCACAGTAGGCTGCACCTACACCTCCGACCGCAGGGCTCCCCCCATGCACCCATTTCCTGCTCCCATCACCACCACTTCCCCCCATCCTTCCCTCATCTCCCAATAAATATCATGCACTCAGTTAACAGGTAGCACAGGTTTATTTACAAGGGGTGGAGGGGGGCTCTTAACTGGGAGAGGGAAGGAGGAAGGCTCCTAACAGGGAGGCCCTCATGGGTGGGAGGGGTGGCATCTCCTGCCCCCATGGTTGCAGGGGCCTCAGTGCCCCTTGTGCTGGGTTGGGCTGCACCAAGAGGTGCCAAGATCGGGGGCCCACAGGAGGGAGAAAAGGTACGGCAGGGGAGATGGGAAGGGGAGGGCTGGGCACAGCAGGGGGGGCCACAGGGGGAGGGCTGAGCATGGCAGGGGAGACCACAGGGGGCGGCCTGGGCATGGCCAGTGGGGGCCACAGGGGGAGGGCTGGGTACAGCAGAGGGGACAGCAGGGCAGAGGGGACAGCCATGCTGTACTGTGGCGCAAGGCCCATGCACTCCGCAATTGTGCCCAGGAGGGCACACACATGGTCACAGCGCTCCACGTACTGGCCCCACACCTGCTCCCATCACTCCTCATCTGCGTGGATTTTGGCACTGAGTTAGTGCTCAATGCACTCAATCGTGCAAACGTAGCAGCGGAGCAGGTGGTGGCGGTCCTGGGAGCCCTGGCTCCTCGGCGCCAGCAGGACAGGGCTGGAGGGTCCCTCGCTGGCAGGGGGTCCTGCTGAGGGGGTGAGCCCTGCCCCATGGTTTTCTGGGAACCCCATGCCCTCCTCCCAGTGCCTCATGTGCCACGACGCCTGGGGATGGGTGTGGCCGGCGTGAGGGGATTCCCCTGGGGGGGCCATGGATGTTGTGGGGGACCCATTGTGCCTTCTCCTGGGGCAGCAACTGTGTCCCATGGGCGGCCATGGTTGCGTGCTGTGGGCGGCACCCTTCGGGCTGTGTGGGTTCAGGGCTACACCCTTGGGGCTGGGCTGCTCCCGGCCATGCTCCCACCCTGGGCAGGGTGTGCATGACCCCCGGGGCCCCAGGCATGTGCTGGGGCTGGCTGCCGCGTCCAGGTGCCACTCGGTCTGGCTGCACAAGGTTGCACATGCTGAGTGCCACTGCATAGCACGTGGCCAGGTGGAGCCGTGTGCCGCTTCCTCTCCCCCAGCCTGTGGCCCCCTGTCTCCTGCACTCTTGAGAGTGATAGCCATGACACTCACCAAAGGATCCCTCGCCCGCCTCCGAGGAGGCCCGGGACACGTCCTGGCTCCTGGGCCAGACCGGGCCAGTGGGGTCTGGCTGCTGTCCTCTGCCTCCTCCTCCTCGGTGGACCGGTTGCCCTCCTCCTCCTGTGGTTCCTGCGGCCAGACCACTAGGGTGGCCACCGATGAGTCCACCAGTGGCCCGGGACACGTCCTGGCTCCTGGGCCAGCCCGGGCCAGTGGGGTCTGGCTGCTGTCCTCTGCCTCCTCCTCCTCGGTGGACCGGTTGCCCTCCTCCTCCTGTGGTTCCTGCGGCCAGACCACTAGGGTGGCCACCGATGAGTCCACCAGTGCCTGCAGGGCCTCTGCCCCCGTGTACCCAAGGATGCTGTGCAGGCGTTGGTAGTGGGGGCAAGCAGCGGCTCCACTGCCCCCACGCTCGTTGGCCCACACATAGCTGAGCCACAGGTCTTTCACCTTGGCCCGGACCTGTTCCAGGGTCCGGGCCGGGTTTCTTTCTGTGACCAGCACCTGGGCCATCCGGGTGAAGATATCCACATTGCACGTCCTGGACTTGGGGTCCCAGAGGGCCTACTCTTGGCCTCAGAGGTCCAGGGGGGCCTTGACCTCAGAGGTGCCCCAGCATGGTGCCCGCTGCTTGGTGCCCCGTGGGCCTGCTGGGGTGGCTCCTTAGTGAGGCCTGTGGAATGTCACGGTGGCTGAGCGGCTGACATCACTCCCCCTGGCTGCTATCCAGGCTGCGTGTGCCACAGGGCTACGCAGGGTGCTTGTGCCTTTAAGGGGAGGCCATCTAGGGGAAACCAGCGAGTTGTGATTGCACTTATGGAGTCTAGGAGAGGCCACCTGTGTTTTTTCCCGGAGGTCAGTTCTTGTGCAAGAAGTCCCAGCCCCTGCTTACACCCTCATCCTTCCCTCTTACTCCCACAGCACTCCCAGCATGCTGCACCCTGCTCTGGCTCCTACTGCCCACATGGTGAGTATGGGGGGTGACCTCGCTGTTGCCCCAGGTTTTTCTCATCTATTGAACTATTGGGGTGGCTGCCACAGGGGCCCCAAAAGTTCTGGGTCTGCGGCAGCCACCCCGATTTGTCCTATCTCTCTAGACCAGAGTTCCTAAAGATACATGCACCTTTCCTGACCATCCCACATTGGTGTTAGTGAAATGGCCCTTGTGATCCACCAGGGCCTACCCCATCATTGAGAAGTAGTCCTTGTGGTTTATGTACTCTTTGGCAAGTTGGTCTGGTGCCAAGACAGGGATATGTGTTCCAACTATCACCCCACCACAGTTAGGGAACCCTATCACAATAAAGCCAACCACTATGTCCTACACTTTCCCCAACATCACTATCCTTCCTAGAATAAGGATATTGGCTGCCCTGGCTACTTGAATCACAGCAGTCCCCATCACTGTAGATTTACCTACTCCAAATTGATTCCCAGCTGACCCATAGCAGTCTGGAACTCCATAGGGCTACAAGAGTGGTTCTCACTCTGGTATTGCTATGCTTGAGGGTGGGGAAAACCAATTCAAAAACTTACATGAGAGTAGCCTTACGCATGCAAAAGTTTCAAAGCCACTGGTCATCAGCCCATAGCAGCATAACTACGTGGTCCCACAAGTCTGTGCTTGTCTTCCAGGACCAGAATAGGCATTCCACTCTGTCAACAGGCCCGACTGCTGTCAGCATACACTAACTGCTCCACACAATGGGTTCCTGCACATCTGTGTTTGTGGGCTCCTCACATTCTTCCTTGTACCAGCAGCTCTTGGAGGGTATGTCTACACTACCACCCTAGTTTGAACTAGGGTGGTAATGTAGGCATACCGCACTTGCAAATGAAGCCCGGGATTTGAATTTCCCGGGCTTCATTTGCATAAGCCGGCCGGCGCCATTTTTAAATGCCGGCTTGTTCGAACCCCGTGCCGCGCGGCTACACGCGGCACGGGCTAGATAGTTCGGAATGGCTTGCTAGTTCGAACTATCTGTACACCTCGTTCCACGAGGCGTACAGATAGTTCGGAATGGCTTGCTAGTTCGAACTATGACTCTGGACAAACAGCAGTATAATGTGCTAGGTGTTTGCACTGCTTGCCACAGCAGTTTGAAGCTGAGTGGAGTATGAGCTTGCCATGTTATGGCATCTGCACAGATAACCAGGAAAGAAGTGCATGAAAATATTGTTTTCCATTGCTTCCAAGCATGAACAGAGAGAGGAGATAAGTGAATTATGGGAGGAGGATGACATGTACATAGAATCACCTGTAATGATTTTGTCCCATCAGGCATTAGGGCTGTGTCTCCACTGGCATGAATTTCTGGAAATGCTTAAAACAGAACAGTTTTCGTTATAAGTATTTCCGGAAAAAGAACGTCTACATTGGCAGGCTGCTTTTCCGGAAAAGCCCTTTTTCCGGAAAAGCGTCCGTGGCCAATGTAGACGTGCTTTTCCGGAAAAGAGCCCCGATCGTCATTTTCGCGATCGGGGCTTTTTTCCGGAAAAGACTACTGGGCTGTCTATACTGGCCCTTTTCCAGAACAGTGTTCCGGAATAAGGACTTATGCCCAAGCGGGAGCAGTGTAGCTTTTCCAGAATAGCG